CCCAACGCCCAGGGTCAGTTCTCATTTTACTTACCTAGAAAACTGTGGTATCTCCTCGTTAACTGATCTGACATGTGCATCGTTATCAGCCGATCTGTGCAGACACCATGATATTTCTGCAAAGCTTCGGCCCTGCGGTGAGCGGCGTGTGCAAAAAGGCACGCGACTGGTACCCGCCTTACATGACAGGTGACAATTGGCATTTTATACTCAACATTTAGTTTCACAAATTATCCGTGAAAGGTTGACATACATGCTGCTCATCGGCACAAAGCTAAACGCTAAAGCGGACATATGTGACAAACATTCGCATAACCATAACGCCCAGAACAAGACATATTTGACAAACATTCACAAACAAAATGAAGGCTACAATTTCTAGCAAGCGTGTGAACTACAATACAGGCCGCACAAGCAGGCTGATGACCTCGCTGCCGCGTCCGCTCCAACGGCAGCAGTGTGTCAGCAGTGCATTCGACCCTCCCACTGACGGGATCAGTTATCTGCCACCCATGTCATTCTTGTGAACAGCCACATAGCGGTTTGCAATATCTTATTTGTTCCTTCAGTGTCTTGTGCTCTAACAATGCCAAACGTACCCGATATATTTTTGAGTGAAGATAGTGTCAGATCAATAACCTAGATAACTGTTAGCTCGTCCATATCGTACCAAACGTGGCTGGATTTGACTTTTGATGGTGATACTTTTGCTGCACAAAGGCATTCCATCCTGAATCCGACTTGACAATCTGAGTTGCACGGAGGCTCGGACATTGTTCTCTTGTACTTCTGGTCTTTGTAACAGCCCTCTAGTTGCGTAACTTGCCATTTTTTTAATTGCAGACTTTACAACGTCGCGTCATGACTTGCGGGAATGCCATGTAACCTCATAAGATCATCGTAGGCCACTTTCTCAACTGGGTCTTCATCCTAGAATTTTTAATTGCTTTCCCTCAAAAGGACAGTTTGTTCACTAGATTCATGTACTTCTCAATTTGCGTCCGTCCCAACACCTCATTTGGTTATATTGCATGCGTTCTGGTCCACCCTCCCGTTGCGGGGCGGGTTCGACTCGCTTTAGGCCCTCGCTATTTGCGCTTGACAAGCACGGTCAAGTAACAGAGGCTAGGACGCATCGTGCCAAGCTGTGTGGTGCCTTAAACTTTCGCCTCCAGAGTCTGCCGCCGATCTGGAATCGCGCAATCGGACGGTGCGGGTGAGGGCTCACAAGCGCTGCTTAGCGGTAGCTCTGATCCCCAAAATCCATGCATTGAAAGGGTTCGGAGTAAAAACAGTCATCTCCAGGCTTGACATGTCACTTCTTCACTGACATGCAAATTACGCTCCAAAAAGCCGCCATGGTTCACCGATCTGGGTTGACTTTAATGCACACGTGGCTTTCGCTTAGGATGGGTGCTAATGCATTTAAGAATGGGCTAACCATGGTATGTTGACTGACCAAACCTTTCCACCGCTGACTGATTGAGGTGATGCGCAATTGATGTGTGATTGTACCCACAGTTATTTTGAGCCATGGTGTTAATTATTCAAGTGTAATTTGCAAAATCATCCTCAAATTGGGACATAACCGAAGCAATAATTTTGTAGTAGACTTACACAAGCTATCCAACGAAGTTTCATTTGTCCTTTTGTCCCAATTTTTCCCTGAGGTAGCAAGGGGCATTGACAGTAATGTGTACACATATGCTGGTGTTAGGTCTCAGCTGGTGCTGATCTCCGAGCGAATGTCGGTGGAGACTCACCTTTTCTGGCGTTATGTGTAAGCTGACGCTGACTTCCGAGCGAGTGGCGGTAGAGGCTCTCCTTTGCTGCCGTTAGGTCTCAGCTGGTGCTGACTTCCGAGCGAGTGGCGGTAGAGGCTCTCCTTTGCTGCCGTTAGGTCTCAGCTGGTGCTGACTTCCGAGCGAGTGGCGGTAGAGGCTGTCCTTTGCTGCTGTTAGGTCTCAGCTGGCGCTGACTTCCGAGCGAGATGTAGAGGCTCTCCTTTGCTGCCGTTAGGTCTCAGCTGGCGCTGATCTCCGAGCAAGTGGCGGTGGAGGCTCACCTTTTTTGGCGTTAGGGGTAAGCTGACGCTGACTTCCGAGCGCGTGGCGGTAGAGGCTCTCCTTTGCTGCCGTTAGGTCTCAGCTGGCGCTGATCTCCAAGCAACTGGTAATAGAGGCTTACCTTTGCCGTACTCCAAAAGCGGTAAAGGCAGTAAGCAGAACCCACGCTGTTTGTCACCGTTTGCTGGCTCAAAGCCGCTTTTAGGACATTGATTTTTCCACACGCTATGAAAAGCTGGGACATAGCTTGTTATTGCTATTTATTTTAACACATGTATCGTGACGAAAAATCGTACAACCCTCTTTTTGTTTAATATGATTAGCTCATAGTAATCAGAAAAGTTTTTGATGTTTGTGCCAACAGGACAATCAAGCATCAAAGCTAGAACCAACCAAAACAGCCGGTGTCTTTTCAGTGCAGCTTGGCAAAGAAAGAACGCTCGTTCACAGCGATCGACTGCCAGCTACGGCGATTACTGAGTGCCCGTGGCGCGCCCAGATGGCGTCAAATGGAGACCCGCGCTCGCGGAGCGATGTCCATTCCTGGCGCTTTTCTTGAGAAGGAGTTAAACAATGAAAGGACCCCGCCGAATTGGACCTTGGACCACCACGCCCGCCATGAAGGCGGACCACCACCAGGACCACCACGCCCGCCGGCGCCGTCCGCGCGAGGGTGTGAGAGGATAGGACACCGGGCCAGGACCGGGAGCATCCTGTGCTCGCGACGTCACACATTGGCGTGAGTACTTGGCAACCTTCTCTCTCTCATCAGAATGATGTGCGCTGAATCATTGGCCTCATTGATTTGTTCAGTTTATCGTGTATATATATATATATATATATATATATATATATATATATATATATATATAGGATAGCATTGCTACATATGATATATCCTATCATAATCCAAACCAATACATCACGGCTAGTTTAATTCCATTTTCCTATTTGAAATTTACGTAATAGAATAATAAAATGTTAGTTACGTTGCAAAATTTGACGTCTCAAATTCCGGGTCTACTGGTATGGATGCAAGCAACAATGACAGGGATTTCCCCCCCCCCCCCCCCTCCATCTTTCCTTTGCCAGCGTGTGCCAGCACAGCATGCCAGATTCTGGCAAGGCGAGCGTAAGCCCTTGCGTTAAAGCTCTCAGTATTGCAAGATGTTCTTGCGTTTTAAGTGTATCATACAAGGTTCATGGCATTAATTATTATCTTGATGACGTGAATTGATGAAAAATTTAGCTAGAAAGGGTTTGAAAAATATAAATGACATTAGATATTTTCGCCATGCAACTTAGCGCCACCCATAAACACCATACAGAGGAAAGATGGCAGCGGATGTTGTAGAAAGAGAACATTCTGTTCAGCAGAGAGACATATTCCACTATTTTTGCCCTGCCAATGCGCCAACCGTTGAGAATGAGGCTCTAATAATGGCTCTTTTCGTAGCAACGCGTAGCTTTGAACAACTGCAAAAATGTTTGATTAAAGCAAGGGTGACTCAGAGCTCACATTTTCAGCAAACCAGCGTGGAGATGCTCTACAAAATGACGGAGTTGACGCGACTAGGCGAGAATGTGTGATGGAGCACCGTAATGCCATATGGAAGGCATGTAAACGCCCGGGTATACGCCACGCGCGCGCGCTTTACAGCCACGCCTCGGGTTTACGACTTTGAACGACGAATGCGTGTGGAGATTCGTGCTGACTGCATTCGGGCAATTTACTTTAACGTATGATCAATGGGGTGCAGTGCGTGGTTCAGAACTGTCTTTCCGGATGGGTGTGTGGGAGGAGGACCACTGAGGGAGCCGCCGTTGAGACGCTGCTCGGACGTCCGTGTTTGTCGCCTAGTTTTGGAAAGAGCCCACACTGAACAACAACCTTATTGGGGTTTCTTCGGAGTGTTCTACAGTTTTAATCAGGCCGCTCTGTTTTCTGGCCGAACAGAGCGCCGAAGGCAACACAACGCAGAAGTGCTCCCATTGTCGAATGACGCACGAAATAAAGCGCTGAAGTGGGTGTGCGGTGATGACCAGATGTGCTATGATCCTCAGATTACTGTTCCCTTGTTCGCAAGATTGATTCCAGCAAGGCTAATCAATCTCACATAAGTTTGCTAACAACGATAAGGAAAATGAACGCTACTTGGTCATTGCTGTGCTGAAGGTGTTTTTTAGGCTCAAACAAATGTGGTATAAAAGGGAGAGAGGATCGGTCTTATCAGAGGACCGAGAAAGATCGTATATCGAGAAGGATCATAGCATTTTAGTAAAACCAATAAGTAGCGCACTCAATTCCAGCTAACTCTATTTAAACTCCCAGCTGAAGTGACAGCTGACACGTCATTCCTTCTTCTTAATCGTGACTTAACCATGAGGATGAATGTAATTTTCTTAATCGCATGCTAAGCATGAACAGTTGCTTTGGCTAATCAACCATGGGCTAATCATTTAAGCCTAATCACATGTTATATTTTGCCGTCTTCTTAACCGCACTCCAAAACGCGCTTCAAAACGTACAAATAGGTTGGATTTAGGACGGCATGTTTGGAGCTGGTCGAAATTCAACAATCAAAGTTGTGCTCAACTATGTCGATGACATATCGACGGCAAAATATGGTATTAAAAACGTTAATGTTGATCGGTTGACGTCGCACATGACGTTTTACGGCATATAATTTTGGTTTTGTTACTACCACAGCTGATATAATTACGTGCACCGTAACTACTTCGACTGACTGAGTTCGACGACGCACCTGCTGCCTGTTAACTGCCGGTGATCGTCCATTTCCTGCAGCGCAATTTCCTCCATGCATTATCTGCATATTTTGCTGTCACACACAGACTCCAGTCCATGCTGCCATTGACGCACCTCTCTGGACGGAAGTGGCCAGTTCAGTAACCGTCTGTCCTGTGTGGTTTCAGTCGCGCCGCTGAGCGTCTCGATCCTGGGCAAGGGCGAGCCGTTCTCGGCAGGCCGCCAGTACCAGCTGGTGTGCCGGTGTGTCGGGTCACGACCCCCGGCCCTCCTGACCTGGTATCTGGGCAGCGCCCGCCTGGCCGCCACCCCCGCTACGGTGAGTGTGTCATCTACTGGTCGCGTTGACCATGCGCTCTTAAAGCACCCCACACGCATTTGATGCGTACCAGCCCGCGTTGAGCACCGCTATCATACGTAAGTAAGCCCAAAGATGCGCAGAGTACTCGTGACAGCGGTTAAGTGGAAATAAATTTGATGTGCACATAGCACATGCCATGTTTGCAAATATTATACACACTCGGACCATTCATCTCGACATTGCTGCTTACGCACTGCATACCGCAAGATCGTCGAGGCTGAAGACTGCTTAAAGCTTTGTAACACACCATACACTCCGGTAAGGTTACTGGCAACAGTGGGCGGCGATCTTGCGGCGTATACTGCACACCCCGCGATATTCCATGACATCATGGCAGTTGCTCACTGCTTTTTGGAAACTCGATCAAATCAGTTTGCTCAGGTTGTTCAGTGTATTGGCGAGGAACATTTTTAACAAACATAAGACAATAGTGATAGACTTGTTCCTCGGAGAAAAACCAGGAGACTTCAGATATAGATGGGTTGATATTTCGGCGACATGATTTTATCGGAACAATAGCAATTTTGCTATTGTTTCGATAAAGATATGTTGCCGAAATATCAACCCATCTATGTCTCCATTCTCCTGGTTTTTCTTCGAGACATAAGGCTGTTACTACTCTCTTATGAGCTTGGCTTGCATTCAACGTAGTCACCTTGTTCATTACAGCAATTATGTATTCTGTAGTCGGATGAAATGCAAGAATGATTTCATGAAACCTTGCAGCTCCAGTCGAACGCTTGAGTATCAGCAGAGCCGTATGAAGTGTTTCGCTAGCACAATGAACACAAAGAGAGACCTGCACCAAGGTCGCGACCTTCACCGTGTTGGCCTGGGATTGCCGACTCTATGGTGAAATGCCTTAGTATTCCTCCGGCCATCCATAAGCCGTCTCAAAACTCCATTTTTTACCGTGCGGGCCGGGGAATGGAAGACAGCGAGAAAAGGGAAAAATGGTTGGAAATTGATTCGCTCTATCCAGGAATTTCTCAAATTCACAAGAGTCGTGTTTTCCATAAACAGTGAAGCCGCTGTTGGCTGGCAGAATGCGGAGAAAAGTTCTGAATTGAAGCCACCTCGAAATGAAATCTTTTGTATTTTACATCCGTGGGAATAGGCATGACTCATATGCGCCTGGGAGATTCGGTTCATTACTCCATTTCCTTTACCGCTTTTTAGAGACGGTTCAACTATCTTTTTAGCAGGAGACTGTGCAAATATTTCCCTTTTAGCGGTTTTCGTGGTCTGCTGAAAACATTCAGGCATGTCACTAATACTTGCACATTACTTCGTTAGCTGTACGCACAAATTCCCACTTCAGTCTCAGTTAAATCCATACTTCTGCGTTCACATTGGTCTAAGTTAAAGGGATGGGCACAGTGCTAACACACATCGGCATGTTGAACCATGGGGACAATAATGATTGGCCACGGTCCGGGTGGTAACGGGGTGGCACGGTAAAAAATGGCCCCAGCCCTCGCCAGCTTCGTTAAAAGTTAACAGCGTTCGCGTGAAGGTGCTTAGAAACGATCCATAGCAAACCGAGGACGCAGGATCGAACGCCGGCTCCATTAGTCAGCCCAGCTGTCAGCGGAGGTAAAGAACGGCAACAGGACGCTACGTAGGTATTCGGCTTTAGCGAAACGCCCCTCCAATTTTTGTGCCCTGTGGTGACGTGTCTTGCGTCAATGAGCGCAGCACTTTTAACATTTCCCAGACTCAGTGCATCGATTTGTTTGGTGCGCTTGCATCCATCACGCTGTTTTTCTTGCATGTTTTACCGTTGGCTGCATCCGATTAAATAATGCTTGGGTGCAGCGCTCGGACGCCGGCCGTTGTCGCCGACTCGCCGGAAACTGACGGATGAAACGACGGTAATTCAGTTAGCGGCCCGGACGCGGCCAGTCCTCGGCCGTCCTGCACGGCTATTGATCCGGCCCGCAAGAAAATTGCCTGGAAATGCCGGGGAAATAGGACGAGATGTGATCGTATGGAAAATAGGTCCCCCGACGGCTGCTGGCTGCGCCTGCAACGGTCTGAATAGGCTGCGCCGCAGAGCACCAGCGCCGGCGCCGGCTGGGCTTGTCGCTGCCATCTCTGCGGCCCCGGCCCGCCGGGCACAGCAGGCTTGGCAGAACAGCACACCAGACCACTCACCGGCCTGTGGCTTCGCAGGACAGCATACCACACCACTCACCGGCCTGTGGCTGACATGTGACTTTGCAGTTGTTGTAGTGAACTCGACAGGTGTTGCGGTGAGCATGTCTGAGTGCTTGCTTTTTATCTGTAGTATTCACAACGCCGCAGCCGAAATGGCGTCTTAGATCCTTCCTCCATAGGCTTGTCTGCAAGGAAGCACGCATTTTTCAAAGCCTGATCGAATCGTCCCGTGTTACTTCAAAATGTCATTGTAGCTCAGAAATATACGAGACCTTCCATTGCCCGGATGGGCTATCCAGACAAAAGCCACGCAAAGACCTCCATCTCTGATCGAATTCGGTGTGTCTCGCCGTCACGTCACCCGAATGCCATGGCAGGGCTATAAAGTGCTGATTGGGTGTTTGTGGATTTACATTGGGCTGTAAAAGTACCGATGAAAGCTTTGGAGTCGGTGCTGGGTGTAGCCAATCGACGCTGAAGCTTATGCGATTTGGTGTGCGATGCTTAGCGACGATATGAATGTGCCAAGTTTGCTTCAGAACGGCTCGCTGGGGAAATTGCAAAACAATTGCTGTGTTTGCCGCTGTATGTGTTCCCGTGAATGGCCTCGTGTTATAGTTTATTCGAGGCTACCCACATGCATGGAGTAGCCAGTAATCCAAATCGCGGAATAAGATGATTTAACTTGCTGTAAACTGTATTTGGATGTTTCATGTTAGCTTCATGCAGCGTTGAGTGTTGCCGTTTCGTTTTGTACGCACATTTATCGAGTGTCCGTACAGACGATTGCAAATGCAAACGATTGCAAATAATGGTCATTCGAAGGCAGAACATATTCCGGACGTGGCGTCAGCGCAACCGTCGCGATGTTTGCCCGCGAACGGCCTTGATGAGCCACGTGCGCCGCTCGCCACAGCTGATGTAGAAGTCCCGCCGACCGGAACCCCATCTTCCGTGGCCGTACCACCACCGCAGCGGGCCGTAGCGTGCCGTGTATGGGCGGGGGTCGCGCAGCCGGCCTGTCGGCTGGTGGCTAGCGTCGCCCCGTCGGCGGCGCCCCCGGCCGGCCCCGGGCCCGGAAATGGAAACGAAAAGAAAGAAGAACATGACAGATGTATGGGACATCAGGCTAAGTGAGTGCTGACAGGCTGATGTAGGGTGTTGAATAAAAGTGCGCTTCTGAAGACGGTCGAGCGAACCGTAAGGCATCACGATCATAACTGCGCGCTTGCTTCCGCTATTTTATATTAACTAACTACATTATGCTATATTTATTGACTACATACGAACTGTATCAACGATGATAATTACATGCTAACTAAAATATTTATACAGTTGCCATGTTGACTATATTTATCAACCACATACTTAATAGGTTGTATCAACTCACATATGTTTGTTTTTTATAATTGACTCTAAACCAGCTGATATTAGAGTGCGTCAGGATGCCCTCCTCGCCTACTTCTCGCCTTAAAATGTTAACAGGTTTGGGAACTAGTGCGATTTTTCGTAGGCCTCGAACTAAGTTCTGACGTTCTGAACGAAGTATGAAAAACTCAATGGAGCGTTGATACCCTACTGAGTTCTTATCTCCATCGTCGAGTGTTAAGTTGCTGCTCTATAGTCACCTGTGCGCATGCTGTTATGCTCAAAGCATGCAGTGCGCCTTGGCATTACCAATATGTCATTCCATGACCATCGATCGTTCAACAGCGTTCGACTTCGTACACAACTTTGTAACTCTTTTGAGCGCTCCTTTCAGCGTGGGGATCCTTCGGTATTGACCTTTGATGCCACTTCAAAGGGCGCGCCTGCGGGCAGGGGCGGCAACGAACAGCGCGTTCGGTGCACCAGGCATCTCGTGTCATGCTGGTTCTGGATGGGTCCACCGACGACGCAAGTTGTTAAAATCCAACATTTGAAAATGTGCATTGCTATGATGATTCTTTTAGTATAGTGATCGTGCCGAGTGACAATCACAGGAAAGCAATACAAAATGGTCCTTTTTTCTTGATCAGAGCATTTATTTCAGGTGGAACACGACTGCTCTCTCCCAGTGATCATTAACTTCTAAGAAACCTTTTTAATATCTGTCAACCTGTCACAAGTCGCTCGTTGTTCTTGGGTCATGGCTAAAACAGCTCTAGAGTGTATGTTCTCTTTCGATGCTTCGTTCTATATTTGAACATTGTCAAGAAAACGATATTACAGTTCAGACAGATGATGACGTGAAATCTTGACTGTATTGCCCTTTTCTGAATACAATAAACTCATCGATCACACGGCGGGATGAAAACGCACATGCAAAAGAGCGCATGGATCATTGGATTTCGATTTACATACGAGTCAAATTATGCGTCCCAGCGGAGTCCGCTGAAGCTCCATCGAAAAGCTGCAGGGCGTCTCGAGCCTTTACCTGCCTGTTGACGGCCGGGCCCAAATTAGGGATGCAAATAGCTCCCAGCTCTTACCGTCGTCGCCTCTTGCTTCCAGTGTAGGTCGGGACGCATGGTTGGTGTTTCTTAGTGGGAGCGTTCGACAGCCGTGTGGGTGAACTGCCGCTCTGTAGCTGCATAGTCACGCGTCTTCTGATCGCCGTAGTGGTGTGTCCGGCGCGGCCGAAGCTCACAAGAAGTGTCTTGAGTGACTGTCTTAGTCTCTTGTTTACATTTAAAGGCGTAGATAGCGTTCTTTGTTTCAGTATTCAGTACACTGCTATCACGCTTATTCACGGTTATTGTTCTCAGAAGGTTGTCAATCGATAACATCGCCATCATATATTTAATCTATTCGAAAGTCATCCTCCACATACCCTTTTCATGAAAAGGATCATGCATGATTCATTGCAAAATGAATAATTTAAACCACCAAAGCTAACATACGCACAACATGAAAGGCTCAACTTAGTTGCAAAGTTCTCATTTTCGTACAGTTTCAGAATTTTAACTGTCCGTTCCAGGTCCACTTCCGCACTCGCTCGCCGTCACGGCTCTACTCCCTGCAGAAACACTTCCAGTCAGCAAGCGCGGGGATTTAGCAGCGCGCCGGGCATGCTCAGCTCACATGAATGAGTCCAGTCATCGATGCTCGGGCATCGCTGACCGACATGTCAGCACGACACTCGGCCTCATGGCGCAGACTGGCACACGCTTGCTCGCTGTATGGAGGGCGATACGCTATTCCTGAATCCCGTTTAGATAAGAGCTCTCCGTTGTTGGCTCTTTAAGCTGCTTCGGGACGGGCCTGGCATGGACGTGTCATTGGTAGCATCTGTGACTCCAGCACATTGGACAATTGTCCTCCGGATGCGCTTCCGCTGGGTGGCTTTTTCAACCACCGTCGCGCAGTACGTATAGCGTGTGATAAAATATTAATTTTTGAGGAAAAAAAACTGGAAAAACCTGCGAAATTTTCGGCAGTGGTCGGCTCTCTGTCATGGTACAGCAACAACACGGCTGGGGGTAAAAGGCAAATCAGAGCACAGGCGGTCCATTAAGCTGGGCTTCTAGGACAGGGATGTAGCTGCAGTAGCCGGTCGTGCTGTGGTTGAAGAACATTGTTATAGGACATCATCATATGAACACAGAGCACACGACGTAGGCCTAGGTCTTGACTTACCTCTATCGGTACCTTGTGCAAAACACATGCTGAGCTCAAAAGAAGTCGTTTCAATGCTATTTTTGGGCGCAGAATTAAATCATTCCACTGAAAACCTGTTGTTATGTCATTCTAATGAATAATTAAGTTATGATAGATCACTTGAGGACCTGCAAGGTCACATGAAATAATTATAGGTCAATGACCTCTGTTATCAGTAGCGGAGAGGGTAGATGAACGAGTGCGACTTGTGTAATGACCTCTATGTCGTGTTCGTTAAGCTGATGATGTATAGTTTCACATACCAACGCGCCTGTTGTGAATTTGTTACGAACCCATGGACAAACGTCGAAGGGCCTGTTATATAAACAACTGTATAAGCTATATATATATATATATATATATATATATATATATATATATATAGTCGTATAGCTATTGTATATTGTATAACGTATGCAAGAGTTATGCGACCCTGAGTACCTGCAAATGTACAGCGCAATATTTTTTAACAGAGTACAGGTGACTTGGACCCGGTCAACACTTCCATTTTTTATTTTATTTGATGGTGCATGAATCTGACCTTAGCCGACCTCATCTGACCTCCAGGTCAGCGTAAACTAGTATTTTTGTATCTGGGATACTTTGTGCCATAACTGGAGGTAATAATATGGACTCAGTCGGAAGCACATTGTGAAAGAAAACACAAAAAAATCGTTTTTGCAGGCTACTGGGGGATCAACTCTGAACGGTGACCTGACCTAATCTAACCTTGACGGGGAACACAAGTGGTCGGAATGAGCTCCCCACAGTCCAAACGCTTACCTTTGTGCCATCAATATTCGTCTTGAAGTACTATATGGAAAACATGTTGCTGAAATATAATATGAGTCATGTTGCTGAAATGTCAAGGCATCTGTCTCTCTTTTACCTTGGTTTCTCTACGGGAAATAAGACTGTTACTGTTGTCTTATTTATATGCATAATGCTCCTAGCAAACGCACTTAATAACTTATATAGCAAAACCAGTACCATTCCACTCTCTGTGCACAGTGGATTAAAAGCCCGTTTATAACTTTTGCCATCACCCTGCTTTAATCTCGTGATTCGCCCACTAACTTTCTCTTCGGAATGCCGCTCTTATATATGTAAATTTCTGCAAGATGCAGATATTTATCTATTATGTTGCGACGTTTGCGTTAAGATCGGTTGAAAAGTAGCTTGAAAATATATGGTGTGTTGCCCCCTGTTGCCACTCATTAAAAATATTTGGCACGCTGTTTTGCTATTCCAGATCGACTCAGTAGTTCCAGAAATCTCAGAGATGGGGGTGAATACACCACCTTGCCTGAAGAGGACTGCCGGGGAACCCGTGCGGAATATAGTTAAGCGCTAACGTCACAATACTTTGCTTTATCGGCGGATGTGTATCTTGACGCAGTTCGTCAGCCAACAGGAGTGTATTGTCGTTGACGCAAACCCACTCATGCATTTCCAAGTACGTGTCGCCTCCCGTGAGCGCGAGTTCTCGTCATAAAGCGTGTGAAGGGGTTATCGATCAGTTGTCAGCTTCGTAACCCGCCACGGCGCGGTGCCGTCGGCGCTGGAGTGCCACCTGCCCTGTTGACTCAGAACTCAGTGGCGTGCGCTCTCTGGTCAGGGTATTTCCATTGCTGTGCAGGATCCGGCGGCACTGCCTTCGTCACTGTCACGGCCACGGATGTGTGGACTGGTCTCAGGCTGCAACCCCGCCCGGTGCGGTCGGAGATGCGTGCTAGGATCTCAAGGTGCCCCCGCCCGGTGCAGCGGCGGATGTGTGGGCGGGTCTCAGGCTGCAACCCCGCCCGGTGCGGTCGGAGATGTGTGCTAGGATCTCAAGGTGCCCCCGCCCGGTGCAGCGGCAGATGTGTGGGCGGGTCTCAGGCTGCAACCCCGCCCGGTGCGGTCGGAGATGTGTGCTAGGATCTCAAGGTGCCCCCGCCCGGTGCAGCGGCAGATGTGTGGGCGGGTCTCAGGCTGCAACCCCGCCCGGTGCGGTCGGAGATGTGTGCTAGGATCTCAAGGTGCCCCCGCCCGGTGCAGGCGGCAGATGTGTGGGCGGGTCTCAGGCTGCCCACCGCTCGTTGCGGCCACAGACGTGCGGACGGGTCTCAAGCTGCCCTCCCCCCCCCCCCCCCCCCCACCCGTTGCGGCCTCAGATGTGTGGACGGGTCTCAGGCTGCCCTCTGCCCGGTGCAGCCACAGATGTGTGGACGCGTCTCAGGCTACTCCCGCCAGGCGCAGGCTCACCTAGCCACTGGTATCGCTGCAGACAACGTCGCACCAAGGGAACGTGACGTTGACGACGCTGCAGTTCACGCCGCGGCCCGAGGACGACCAGAAGAGCCTGTTCTGCCGCTGTCAGAACCCCAAGGTTGACTCGGCCACGCTCGAGGACTCGTGGCGGATCGCCGTCCACTGTGAGTGTGTCGCCGCGCCGCGTCGGCCCGGCCCGGCTGGAGGTCGCGGCCACCAAAACAGCGCCGCGGCCGCGACCGGCTGCCGGCGCCGGCCGTGACAAGACGGCCGAGAGGCTCGGCCGATCAATACGGATACGGAGTGGGTCGTCGTCCCTTTCATGGGACGGAGCCGGCCTGGTGAGACGTGCGCATGGGGTGGGGACGTGACACCTTGTGCTGCATGGCAGTCGGCCCCCGCTTGTGAGGCTGTCGGGGCACTGGTGTCGGATCTTAGCCTACGGCCTCGCCAGTCCATGACAGCAGTACAAAATGTGGCAACTGAATCACCGCTTCTCTCTCTCTCTCTCTCTCTCTCTCTCTCTCTCGCTCTCTCTCTCTCTCTCATCTCTCTCTCCCTCTACTCTCCTCTGCTCTCTCTCTCTCTCTCTCTCTCGTCTCTCTCTCTCCTCTATTCTCCTCTCCTCTCTCTCTCCTCTCTCCTCCTCTCTCTCTCTCCTCTTCTCTCTCTCTCTCTCTCTCTCTCTCTCTCTCTTCTCTCTCTCTCTTCTCTCTCGTTCGCTCTCTCTCTTTCTCTCTTTCTCTCTCTCCCACTCTCTCTCGCTCTCTTTCTCTCCCTCTCTCTCTCTTTCCCTCTCCTCTTTCTTTCTCCTCTTCTTTCTTTCTTTCTTTCTTTCTTTTTTTTCTCTCTCTCTATCTCATCTCTCCATCTCCATCCCTGTATCCCCTCTTTTCTCCTAACCCCAACCTTGCAGCACCGTACGAGCGCACGTCAAAACAAGTCTAACACGCAAATTGCTGCAACATGAAGCTCTTATGGCGTCCGGGATGATCTGCGCCGCTGAAGCTGGAGATCGGCTGACATTTCATGCGGACTCAGTCGGCTGCCTCGTACTGACTCGCACGTTGCCTGACTCATCATTTTATGTTGCAGCGGTAACCGTGACAGGATATGTACGGACAGAGTGTACTAATCCAATTCTAAGGATTAACTGAAACGAGGTGGTTACCGATATTACGGATGGAATGATTGTTCAGACTATCGCCCACGCGTGGTCTGTGACTTTCTACATAACGGCTACCGATTGTCTTTCCCAGTTTTATCACTGGTAGAACTTTGGGTTCATACTCGTAGAACCCAATTAGAATGTCAGCAGTTCCAAGGGGAATACTCGGGTTGTGGCGTGCACATAGCTGGAAGTCGAATCCATTCAGTTCCTTCCAAAACTGTTTTACATGTGACGACCAATATTAGCATATAAATTGCCCGGAACAGTGTGCTTATGTTAACACATCAGACGAAGACGCTAGTGCGAAAAGAAATATGGCATCATTGACATGAATCCATTATTAGGCCCAGAGGTACGGACCCGTCGGCTGTACCAGAAGTCCAATGTCGCCATGACCTCCAGGCCTCTAGGATTCTGCGCCCCTGTCCGTTTCCCGGTTCACGCAGCCTCGAGTGGCGCCGTTTCTACCCGCAATGTAGGTGGGAGAAGGGCACGGCGGACCAAACGGGACACCGCACGCGGGCAGACGGGTCTGAGCTGATGCCTTCATTCTGATTGACGTCGCCCAGGCAGCTCTAATAATTACGCTGTCCGGGATGGAGCGGCTCGCTTCGTGGCCGGCTGGCGTCTTGGGGTCGGCGCGCCGCGTCTCAGTGGTCCCCGGGCGTCGCCTCCAGCGCAGAGTCAGACCAAACCCGTGCAGACCGCCCAGAGCTGTTTGTCAGCAGGAGCTCCGATGGTTCGCTTGGGTGCTCGTGTGGTTCATCCATCTCTGGTACGGCTGTTATATTACTGGTGACAAATGGGCTGAGTTCGGCCGGCAGCCCACAGCTCCGTAGTTTGGCGCCTTTTGGGTATTGTGCCGACACGTGAGCGCCGGGATAATGCTCAGGAGCGGAAGTTATATATTTCTGCGATGGTGTGTAAAAGCACCGTAGCCGTTGTTTTGAACCAGTGACCTGGGCGGGGCTATCGTCTGACAGAAAAGAAACACTAACAGGACATGAACGGCAACGTCAGCAACGCTTCGATCGTCTTAACTTCACTTTAATAACTTTCGTCAGCACTGAAGATTCATGTTTGTCCTGCGGAGGATGGCTACCGTCCGCATGCGGGCGATGTTGACAGCGTGTCCTGCCGTCGTCGGGCGCGCCGCGATTTGTCACTGAGCTCAGCGGTCACGTCGCGCGGCCGAGCGAAGCCTGCAGCGCTGTCGCCAGGCAGCGCCACGGTCGGCGCGCCGCCGCGACCGACGGGGCATGGCGCCTCGGCCGCCTTGCCTCCGATGGCCCGCCTGATTATGTCCCCCGCCTGTCCGACGGGACTGTCTTCGAGCTTGCGCGCGGATGGGAGGGGGGGGGGGGGGATGGCGTTGTAGATTGCAGCTGCACTCGAGCGAGAGTGCACTCGGTGCATGCAATGAACATGTGAAAAGTAGGGTTCATGGATCAGTGCACCAGTGAAGGATCACTGAATGTGTTCTGACGCGCCTTTCGACGGCGCGTTTGCATGCATGCCTCCTCTGCGCCACGCGGCAGATAAGGCGACGCCCAGTGTACCGTGACCCTGACCTGCTCGGTTTCTAGCCGTGTTTGTCCTCTTCCCCAGACTTGCCGCGCGTCAGCGTGACCTTGGGTAACTCGCTCGACCCGTCCAGAATCAAGGAGGGCGACGGAGTTTACTTCGAGTGCAGTATCAAGTCCAATCCCCCCATTTATAAGAAGGAATGGAGGCACAATGTGAGTATCCATTACGTCGCGTCCGACATTGGGGACGATAGTTACTGGTCACGTAATGCCAACTGCAGTGTTAGCTTGGTTATGCAATCTTGTGTGCCTGAGCAAAGGTTGACTTCAAAGTGATTTACAAAGATTCGAGCGCTTAGGGAGCGTTTCGCACACACAAAAGGTGAGCTCAACATACAGCACCGCGGTGTGTAACGCGCGGTCTAGTGTTCGGCGATATTTTTGCTTGAGTAACGAGGTACACGGCGTGCTCTCTGACAACCTTTGGTCTGGATCTTGCTCGCAAATGCTTGCTCACCCAGCAGCCCATTTCGGCGGCACGGTACTTTGCATTAGCGGAGCGAGCCTTGGCCCACCTGTCCGACGGTGGGAAGCCGCGGTGTGGTGCATGATCGCCTCAAGGGCGCTCAGGCAGAGGGAGTGTCTGAAGGAAGCTGCTGACTGGCCTCTGCCGCCGTGCCGCTCCGCGCGGTCCGATGTCATCACCCTGTCGCCGCAGAACCGCGTGCTGGAGCACAGCGTCCGTGACGGCATCATCATCAGCAACTACAGTCTGGTGCTGCAGGACGTCCGTCGCTCCAGTTCCGGCGTCTACATGTGCATCGGCTTCAACGTGGAGGGCGACGCCGAAAGCAACCCCATCTTTCTCGACGTCAAGTGTAAGCTACACGGACGTAGCGGACATGCCGGGGTGACAGCTGCCAGTTGTGCGAGGGCTTGGATGGCACCGGAGCGGTGGCACACGGGCTCAGACGCGTGTTTGACCAGCCGTAGACATATGTTTTCCTGACACCTGAACTTCGGATGAGGTCAGCGGCTTGGTATGTCCCCTGCGACTTGTGGTCAAAGATCTGGATTTAAGATGGCTGAGTTAGGAGTTTTAAGAGCACTTCAGACGCTGGTCCCCAGTTTGACCATATTTGGTCACATTTGTCAAGAAGATCAAGACTTAGAGACTTAGAGCTTTAAACAATGGGCTTACATAGAGCCCTACCCACCCTGAAAATTGGATGTCGATGCAGCTTTCTTATTTTTATATAGCGGGAGATGGGCAAATTGATCCCACTCCCACTCGAGCATGTATTCCTCCGGCCACGTGGGTGCGTGTTAAGTGTCACACGACTATCATTTTTCTCTCGTGTGACAGGCAAGGAGCCTCGCAGCACTCCCTGCCTTATGTGTCGAAATATAAACGTGCTAGAGATATGCGGAATATGGCGCTCAATAGTTCGCTTAAAACCGCAACACACTTTGCAGTTGAACACCAGTGCCTGTCAACATTTCCGGATCAAATGAGATCAGCGAGTTATAGTTAGTGAATATAGGCTTCCTTTTCTTTTTCTAATTTATGAAAGCTTGCAGCGTGGATAGAGACATTGTCCCGTGTTTCACTGAATAACATACCGATGGCTTAGTAAACCATCAGTGGGTGTAAGATATCACATATTGAACAATGCCATTAGAATTGTAAGTCTTGTACGAAAGCGTTGTGGGCACAGGCCCCTGCCTCGTTAAAAAATAAAACTAGGGATGGTGCAACTGTCAAAACGACGCTGGATGCTAACACGTCCTAAGCTGTGTAAAGTATCATTGAAAGTGGTCTGAAGGTAGGACAAGCAAGGCGTTGACAGGTGCCGCTTTGTCTGCTTTATATTTTTGTGGCGAGTGTAACCTAGCTTTATCTTGGAAAACCTGACCACTGCAATATCAAAAATAATTGAGTGGCGTCATCATGTACCGTGATAAGGGGTAGCAGGAAAGTCCTCGCAATGCATATGGTACTACAATCGAGGGTCGTCGGATGAAACTCGAGTGGAACGCAATATGAGGCCGACATGACCTGCAGAAAGAGTTGATAATTCCCGACATTTTAAAGAAAGACTCTTCAAGCTGCAGCAAAGATGCATGGAGAACCCGGCTCCTAAAAACCTTTGTGTCTTGCACTCTGTTTTTTATATATGTATTCCTGTCAATCTTACAGGGCGAGGTCTCTGAAGCTCACGCCTCCACTGGTCGCCAACAACGGATACCGCCCTCAAGCCACGATCGAGAACCTGAAATGATTTGGGAACAGTACAAAACATATTAGCCCCGTACGAACAAAAACACATTCAGATATCGGTCCAATTTGATGTAGATGTGACGTCATTGAGCACACAGGCCTTTGTCATGTGCTGACGTTTTCGACTGACGGCCGCTCTGGGCTACATTTGAACAGCTTGGCAGGCATGTCGCTGCCAGCCGCCATCACATCATTAGTCCGCTCGGAAGGGAACTGCAACTTGTGGCACTTCGCATTATTTTTTTCTGCCCTATAATAACTTTTGCTCACATCAAACGATCAAGATCGAATACATTTTTCACTGAAACCGCCTGGGAAAGTTAAACACTTCATTTTAAAACCAAAGACCACTGGTGCTACCAATGAGCTAACGCTCTCTATTACTATGCCCATCAAGCAAGTGAACGTATGACTTAAACCCTTACCCCACGAGAAAACCGTTGGGGCCTCTACCTTTTAACGTATGACTTAAACCCTCACCCCACGAGAGAGCCTTTGGGGACTCTACCTTTTAACGTATGACTTGACCCTCACCCCACGAGAGCGCCGTTGGGGCCTCTACCTTTTGACGTTTTTCAATATACAATTCATACGGTTTGAGCACGGTGCCGACATTTTTAATACCTGAGTTTATAGCAGTCTTATGCAAGCTGTAAAAAGTTTATCCTTATTTCTGAGATGTGAGAACTAGAGCGCATTTCTTGCAGCAAATGCACTCCAAGGAGGTATTCTGGACTATTTCCTTATACTGCTTCATTCAACTGTGCCACTATTAGGTGCATTCATATCACTATACTTGCTTTTGCAAGTCGAGGACATCTAAGATCAAGCCAGTTGAAACTTTCACATATGTTACCAGATTTGACCTCTTGAAAGCCAAACGGTTTAGACGATTGTGGGTGGCTTGAAGCGGTCATTAGCTTTTGTCACACAACTTTATTAAACGCATTTCTTACCTTGTTTGCCCATTTGTACGGCTTGTCTCGCTCTCGATTTAGCCTGACGAGCAAATGCAACAATAGGTTTATACAGATTTGGTCTATATTTGATATAGACACTTGATTTTTCAGTTGATATAAACATTTGACGTTTGATTTGATATTGAAACAAGAGAAGCATTGAATTTCAAAAATCTGACTTGATCTGTCAAAGGTCAGACTTACATATTTCACTTACACTTAACTGATGCAGTCTCACGAGGGCTTCCCATTGTCCATTTCCAGGGGTTCTAGTTTGCTCAGTCTTCGAGCTATTAGGGACCTCTGGGGCCACCCATCTCCGCGAACGGTACAGGCGAAAATACTCCGGTGGGACGAAATTTATGGCCCAAATGACGGATGAAGTTAACTCGGCACCGCTTGGGTACTTCACCACCCGTGACCACCTAGATTAAAATCACCCCCAGCAAGCGTCTCGGGACCTAAAAGACCGATCACTAAACTTCAAACGGTCAATCTCACCAAGGAATTATTGATCTCATGCCTTCACATGATTGTTGACGTCATAGGTCACAACAAATGTCCCTGCCCTCTCCCCCCCAAAAAAAAATAATGTCGACAGGACCCGCAAGATCTATCGTACCGCAATTGATTTGACACCAAACACAGGAGACCATTTTTATTCTTCTGATTCACACAGGTATGACGACATGGTCATGGGCGATTATGAGGTCAAGGAATTTTCATGTCAGCGCCATGTCACCTCTTAGGTTTAATTTCTGACGCTTCTAATTCGCGTTATATATAGCTTTTAGATATATTTAAAAGTTAACATAAAGTTTACATATAGTTGCTTAAAGTATAAGCAACTTAACTTTTCACTTCTCTACTCCCCTCTCGGTTTCACCTTCCAAAAGTTGTCCATTTGGTAGGCACTCTCATGACACGTATTTGGCATTCGATTGTCCATGCAAACGATAGTGCTTTGCTGAACTATGCATCGTCCCATTCATAAAATAGACGTCGGATCCATAAGGCTTTGACTGGGCTTGACATTGACGCCTTCATCTGGTCGGAGGATCACGACGGAATTTTTGAATAAATGAGATTGCTTGGATCCCATCCGATATGTTCTTTGCAAACCAGAACCGTGGTCTAATTCTCACCATACTCTGATCATTCGCCTGTTTGTTTACAAGCTTGTGGCCTCAAGCACATGTAACTCCGACTTAAACCTCACCGGCATCACTGAGAGGGTTACCCAGGCACCGGCATCACCGGCATCACCGGCATCACCGAGAGGGTTACCCAGGCACCGGCATTACCGGCATCACCGGCATCACCGAGAGGGTTACCCAGGCACCGGCATCACCGGCATCACCGAGAGGGTTACCCAGGCGCCGGCATCACCGGTATCACCGGCATCACCGAGAGGGTTACTCAGGCGCCGGCATCACCGGCATCACCGGCATCACTGAGAGGGTTACCCAGGCGCCGGCATCACCGGTATCACCGGCATCACCGAGAGGGTTACTCAGGCGCCGGCATCACCGGCATCACCGGCATCACCGAGAGGGTTACCCAGGCACTGGAATCACTAGCATTACCGGCATCACCGAGAGGGTTACCCAGGCGCCGGCATCACCGGCATCACCGGCATCACCGAGAGGGTTACCCATGCGCCGGCATCACCGGCATCACCGGCATCACAGAGAGAGTTACCCAGGCATCCCACCGCGATCCACCCACAGACAGGGACAGGGACAGGGACAGGGGGAGGGGGCACGGCTGGGTGGCTGGGCGGCTGCGGTCGGCCGGCGCCCAGTCCGATCTGTTCGGCGTCCCCTGACCCATCGATCGCATCACTCAGGCAGCTGCCAGCGGCATAGTGCGGCCCACCGGCGGGACGGCCTCCCCGACCGCACCCCGCCGACCGTGAAGCTCAGACCCCGCCGAGCACGGGCCCGAGTCACTGGCCCGTCACCATTCCGTTGCCAGATGTAGGTCCGGATCGTCCTCGGAGCACTGTACCTGAATCACCCCCCGCCCCCTTCCTGAAAAAACGCTGCACCATTAGCCCAATATGAGTCACGGGCCATCTGCCGAGCACTGGGCTCGCATCTTCGCCGGACGTTTGGCATACACTGCCGGCAAGCACCAGATCGCAGCACTGGTCTTGTTGGCACAGGTCTCCACCACCCGTCCGTCAGCACTGCCGGTCTCTTCCACGCGGGCTTTTGAGCACAGAAACCTGCTGCCGAACCCGAGTCCTAGTGTATTGAGTGTAATTTCCAATCCATCATAGATGGTTTGCGGTATCTGATCGCGAGTCCGCGTCGAATGAGCTTTACGTCGCATGAGTCCCAGCGTATGTCTTTTAAGGTTGGGTCAGAGTGAGCTTTCGAGTCCTGGAACCACGACCCTGAGTTTGACGTTGCGTTGCACAATCACGTCATGTAACGTCTGTATGACGTCAGAACCGCTTCTAGATTGGCCGTGTCAGCATTGGCACTATAGCGGAAGGGCTTACTCAAATGTAATGCTTCAATTTGCCGAGAGGCGGTGGTGTTTGCTTATACATACTTACACTGTTGTGAACCTAGATACCTCTCCTAAGCAACAGGTCACAGTTGCTCATCTAATGTTAGCGACCTTGTTTGACCTTTAGAACGTGATGTTCATCTTTAGGTCATGCTGAGCAAAATTATACAAAGCTGCTTTGATTTTTACGTTTGAATAAGCATCAAGGATGACGCTGGGCGGTATGTTCCTTAAGGCAAAATGTTGACCCGGGTCAATTTATGTCAGTGACCTATGCTGACCATTGGAAAATAATCCATGGAAGACATATGATGCAGACCCTGTCTTTAAACAATTCAAAATGAGCACCAGAAACTACTGCATGCGGCAAGCTCTCGAGTAAAAAATAGATTGGTTTTGACTTTGGTCTGTCCTTCCTACCTCACCCTAGGTCAATGGAATTTGTTTATTCAATTGTTGTGTTGCCTGACAAGCTATATCAGAGATGAATGGCTTTGTCTTACACTCCATTCTGGCACCAAAGTGAACGATTCCCTAGAAATTGCATTCGCTTAAGCCATGGCCTGACTTTGACTTGCCATAGGTCAGCTACCTTGCAAGGTACATACAAATCCTGGATGCCACTGAATACATTAAATTAATATAGTAACTCATGAAAAGACGCTCTATTTTATTGTCTACAGCTCGGCAAAATTTGATATGACGCCTGTTAAAAATGGATGTCGTGATGTCCAGAAAAAAATGCCTTCGGTATCTCTCGCTGAAGCGTTGATCTGAGATTTCGTCAGGGCGGAAGGTTTGGAATTTTCAGTGCTCCTGAAGTTTCGTGCCCATTGAAAATAAAGGCATCGGGCAACTTTGTTGCGCCATCTGGAATTGGGTCCCACGTGAAAATAAAGATTATGACGCCTCAGAAGGAAAGTGTTGGTGCTCCTTCTCCGAATGGGCCGATCCAAGATTTTGCCACAGGTAACGGTAGAGCATTGTGGTGCCCCTAGAGGTATGGTGCAAAGCAATATTTCGGGTCATTCGTGGTGCCCCTGGAATATGGTGCCTCGTAAACAGAAAGTTTAGATGGTTTCGAAATGAGGGCTTTTAGTTTCCCTTTACTATGATGTTTTGGCGTCTCAAAGGGATTCCAGAACCTAGTGAAGGTCCAAGGAGGCATATCCCCCCCCCCCCCCCTATTCCGCTTCTGCTGCGCCGTACATGGCACACGCTTGAGACCGTCCAGCTTCAAAGACGAAGCACTTCCGCAGGAAGCTTTGATACCCCGTACGATGCAGATGGCTGCCGCTGATAACCGCTGGGTATTTCCCATCTTGATGGCAGCCATAACATTGGATATATGCCGATGGTCACATACGTTGGATTGCTAACCATGAATCTGCCCGTTTGGGACATTTGTAAGGAATGATGTCACATATGCGGCTGCTCAACTAGATCTGGGCAATACAACCTGGTAAAGAGGTGAAAGTGACGACACGATCTGTGCAAATATATACTGAAAAAATCACCACGCGATTTAAACGCTAACCCATCTCGAAATCTGACAGGAATCGACAAGCAGCCAACCATCACTTATCGACAGCATTGCCAGCTTCCCGGAGTGATTGACATGAGGCATGAATAACATGGGAGAAATAATTGTTCGGCCTATCGCCGTCATCTGGTGTATAGTACGCCCACCAGATCACACGCATACACGCCAGACGAGAACGACAGTCTGGGCACTTTTGTTATCCATGTAAGCGCTCGGGCACTTGAACCAACTGGGAAATCGGGGCCGACTTCCTTCGTCCTCAATTGTCTGCTCTTTCTCCGAGTTTCGCACAAAATGAAACGAAAGAGGCAACTTGTGGGCTGCCTTGTGGGAATTAGATGACAAATGACCCGCAATTAATTTAATGACAGGTAATACGAAATGACCGTGACTTTTACCTCAAATAAAAATATACATTTTCTAGTCGTTCGGAATGCAAAACACGCCTAAAGACGCTACCTTGCTCTAATAATCTCTGTTCTGTGTCATGGTGCGTTTGAGTGGGGGTCCGTCAGGGCCCCACTACCGTCTACGGTCAGGACCGTCTAAACTAACCCGTTGCTCGGCATTTCGAGAAGTAAGAGCGTTTGCCACATTTCACAGATACAGCCACGTTGACTCTGAACTTCCTGCAGTTTCAGCGCAGAGCACACCCTTGACGATGCGTTCTGTGTTGCGCGCAGTCGCCCCAGTCTGCCGTCCCGAGCTGCCTCACATTTACGGCGTCTCCAAGAAGGAGCAGGTGAACATCCTGTGCGACGTGGACTCCAATCCATCGCGCCTGCACTTCCTGTGGACTTTCAACAACACGTCCGAGATGACGGAGCTGGACAGCAGGCTGGTCAACAGCAGCGAGACGCGCAGCATGCTCACCTACCAGCCGAAGACTGAGATGGACTACGGCACCATCTTCTGCTGGGCCACCAACGACATCGGCAGGATGGCCCGGCCCTGCGTCTTCCACGTCATAGCTGCCGGTGAGAAAGCTTCTCTGTGAATGCGCACGCACTGACTCTAGTTAGGTGTAAATATGCATATTAGTTGGACAACACTATTGTTTTGAGTTCTACGCTATTGTTCTGTTATTCGCTTTGTTCAACTGCATTGTTCTCTAAGTACGCTTTGAAGGTTTGGCACGAATTGTAAGATGACCATTGGCATGGGTAGCAGAAAAGCGAGACGTGAGAAGCAAAAATTACGGTTTATGTGTTCAGTGGGCAAGAAAGTCATGTGGACTTTTAAATGTCACTGGGGCTTAACGACGAGGTCATCCATAGGAGGTGGTCCGAGTACTTGCAAGTCAGATAATGCGGAATTAAGTGCACAATATGTATAAGGTCCTGACATTGTGGACGAGGTGCGCGTGTTATGTCATGCGATACAGTATGCGCCTATCACTCGCACTTTGAGAAATTGACACAATTTGTGGCGTTGGCTCCCGCTTTGCCTAGCTCGTTCGTCATAACAGCAAATTCACTTAAAAAAGTTACCAGGCCGAAAAGACTGGAGTGGGTTGAAAGCTTAAACGTCAGATTAACCTCTAGTGGTTAACCGGAGAGGTGCAAAATTCCCTTTTTTCTATATGCTGTATTTGTATACAACGTATGTTGTACGCATTTTTGCTAAGTTGCGCTGAAACGCAACGAATCGATGAATGGCGTTGAATAAATCGATTTTGCCTCGACCAGTTCGGCTGGATGGGTTTACGAATCGTGCATTGGTAGATTCACGAGTAAGCCTGACTCAAGACTGGCACATCGGATTCCGCTGAAACTTTTAGATGTCTTCCGCGCAGGGCCCTCTTGTTCATATACAGTAACGCATGATGTCTATACCATGGGTGCTGAGATTATTCAGTAGTTTTTTGTGTTTGGTAGTTATGGTGTATCCACATAAAACAGAAGCATGCACTGTACATCCCGCGTACCCAATCGCGTGGCGTTCATTCTCGACGCAAGCGCTTGACGATTTGAACTGTACAACGAAAAACGCCTAGTGACTCAAGTCGTGCTTGGAACTTGGACGATAGAGTTCCCCAAGCGTTCGCCATCTCACGACATGTTTGTGGTCCACAGGCCCCCCGGACCCACTGTACAACTGCTCCATACATAACCGGACTGCGATGGATATGTCGGTCCATTGTATGGAGGCTTTCGATGGAGGTCTGATTCAGTCATTCATGCTCAACGTGTTTGCCGTCGAGGACGACCATGTAAGTCGGCTCCGAATGGAACATCTGAGCAATGTTCCTCTCGCTCGATTGTTCGACTGCTTTAACCAAGTTGTGCGTCTCGGGCGAATACTTTCTGGTATAAGTGGATTGTGTCTACGTTTACTGGCGGTTAACTTGTGTTTGTTATCTCCTTTGATTTTGATTTGCTCAGGGAAAAGCATGCAGGAACGACGTGACTTGCATTGGCACTTTTGGTACAACGGTGTCGCATCTCGCTTTACTGTACAAATGCCTTTGCGATATTCCTGCAATGCGTTTCCAATCACTGTTGACGGTGATTCAGCAGCCGACAGCACGCTAGACTCTGCCTGCTTTCTTCAGATAGGTTGTTGTCATCGTGATGTGACGTTAAAAAATCTAAATACCTAAGCTTCTTAGACAATCGACGTCATGGATCACCATCTTCTTCATTGGTCATGACACTCGCTCTATGATTTCACTATGATGACATACCTACTATCTGCTGAAGTTGCTAGAATGCTACGTCGTTTTGAGCGCAGGTGACGCTTGTATTTGTTTATTCACAAGCACGATGCGTAAAAATCAAAAATCGGATCATTTCATACTGCTATGCGTGTCCAAGTATTCTAACGGTGAAATAATGTCGAATGTTGAATTGTATGGCGTAACTATCCATACAGAGACTCAGGTACCTGTGTATAAAGGGCAAACCGCATGCAGTGGTGTGATGAATGTACTGGTGCATAAATAGGGAATTGGTCAACAAACTCACACAATACCGTCAGCAAAGCTTTCGGTGAATGTCGTGTCTCTAGCTCAGCCAGACCCATCCCATCTCATCCTATTCATAACTCACTCGATTGTTATGTAGATTAGACTAATAGCTCCCATTAAATTAAGTTAAAGCAAGCTCCGAACTGAAACATTCAACAAACTTCGTTCAGAATATCCAGTGAATCAATGTTACTCTCTTAATTATTTCTGAGCCGAATTAAACGAAAAATTCAAGCTCGTTCGTGACGACGCTTCTATAATTGTAGTCTGCAGCATTTTCGAGTTAACATAACATTCGAGTCCATGTGGAAAATGGCTATGACCAAAAGCACAACAGTGAAGCAGCCTAAGTATTCCAGAACCCATGCAGCACCATCCAGAGCCAGGCTACGCTCGCCAGCACTCTGCTGGTCCCAATGTCTGCCACACCAATTGCCCATGATTCCAACAAGATCACAAACATTGCCAGGGAAAGTACAGCTGCGGACTCACAGCTCAGGGAGGGGCAGTGGCTAGCAATGAATGATGAAATGAATGAATGATTGAAGCAGCATCCACTGGGCAGAGTGCAATACAAATTTATCAAATTGTCTTTGAAATTCAGTGTGCCACAGTTTATGGAGTTTTGAACTGAACTGCTTTGAATATCATACAGAGCAGTCCACAGCCCTGACGTTTTAAGACTTAAAGCCCGCTGGCTTCTGAGCTTGACGTCCACTGACTTACACTGACTTTTTCGAGCAGGCTTTTTCAAAGTCACCCTGGCATGCGTGAAGTTATAAGAATGTCACGGGATTGCTACGTCATTCGCCACGTGGTGCTCAAGGCAAAGACAAATATTACCTTATCATTGAGTTATTCGTGTCTGGCGTGCGTCAGCACGATTTGTGGCATCAACGGACTTCAGTCGTTCAACAAATGCAATGTGTTCAGTGCAACTTTCCAACAAAAATCCAATACTGTGCTGCTATTTGGGCAGTGGCACGAGTTATGGGGGAAATAAGACGGGAAATCGAGTAGCTTAACACGCGCCCGGTTCGAGGGACAATTTGCCCTCCCCCTTCCCCGAAGGTTTCACAACATGGTTTTCCATCGGCGTGGAGTAGCCGAGCCAATTTTTGCATAGCTGTAAGTAATTACATAGCGAATCATTCGGTATAAAGAGTTTATGTCCCTCATAGTGTCTCTGACATATGGCAAGTCAAAGTCAGCCCATGGCTATGAGCAAGGGCAATTCCAGGGAACCGTGCAATGTGATGCCGCAATATAGTGTTAAGCAAAGCCATACATTTCTGAGGGAGCTTTTAAGGCCACAAACCAGTTGAATTTAGCGTTACAACAAATTCCATTGACCTAAGGTCAGAGATGAAGATTGGACCGTGGTCAAAACCGAGCCACTTTTGCCATAAAACTTGCTTTTATGCTCAATTTGAATTGGTTGATAACAGCGACCATAACAGACATATTTCATGGACTTCTTAAAGGCCCTAGTAAGCCACTGACCCCAAAAAGACCCAGACCCCGCTTTGTATTCAGAAACGCACCGCCTGGTTTGATTTTCAACCTTTTTTTCAAAATAAAGGATAGAAAGACTTTTTGGGTTTTTGGTCACCATGATCTTCTTAAGGTCAAGCAAGGTCATTGACCTAAAATGAACATTCGTGACCTTGTGCTTAGAACAAATGTTTAGGTCCAAGGCGGTTGAATGAGGAAGTCTAAAGGCTCTTTGAACACCAAGCTTGAGTTTGAACTCGTTTGATGTTTTTTTACCAGAGGGTTATGGCCTACTTACCTCCATTGTTTTGTAAAGTGAGTTCAAGTACAGACCAACCCTGTTAATTCGGTATTTTAGCTCTCCTAGTTTTGATGTCTCAGTGCCCCCACCCCCGAGCGAAGGACAATCAACCCGCTTGCCAGATGTATTAATAAAAGCGCCATAACGAGGTAAGTGAATGCAAGGTAACAATCTGAAATAAAACCACAACCAAAAATGCAAGGACATCACGAGAAAGACCCAGAACTCGCGCACATAACGATGTTGGGATCCTGCAAACACCACACTGATCATTAGGACACCTCTCAAAAAGTTGAAGCACTGCAATTGAGTCTGTCCGTCCGCTCGGAGACCAGAGCGCACGGCCAGTTGACAGTCACTCTGGCGTCATACAAACGTTCCATGACGCCATTAAACGATGATGCTCTGAAAAACCTAGCTACTAAATTGTAAAGTTGTGTTGTCTAAAGCAGTTTTTTATTTGAAAGTGCGCCAATAGTTACAGGTGAGCTCATTGCGTCATATCTGATGCTTGTCTCAATTTCTCAAGATGTGGAACATTCCCTTTAACGTGCTTTCCCAATCATGTCTGTGACCTAAACTGAGCCAACGCTTGTGTATTGGCAGAGTAGCATTCCAAGTTATTATTGATATGTGTTTCCATTGGATGTTGGTGGCCAGCTTTGTAGGCAAAACCTGCAAATGGCAGTTGAAACGACTGCTAGTAAAAAGAAGTAATCACATTCTGCTTGCAACAGTTATAAATGTTGTTTTTGGTTTAATTTCGCGCGGTGTATTTTATTTTGACACTGATTCGAATCACGGCGATTTGGTCATGGTTTCAGTCCCCCATTTTCGGGAATCAGGCTCAGAACCAGAACAAAAGACAGCTCTGTGGATCAAGAAATAGCATAAACCCCTTTTGGGGGTTCCTTACATTCGACCCATGATTCGGTTCCCAAAGTGTTGAGTCACAATTTATTTGAATCAAGAGGTAATGAATTTAACACAATTCCAGCATTCTCTCACGGCTCCTTTGTGCTGCCTTCGCCACTGCTAAGAACCGCTGGATGCCCTGCTGAGCGGATGAGACCAAGTCGCCTTCCCACCTGGCCAACAGTCAGCCCAGGCCCCCGCGCGACCGTGACGGAGTATTGAGCGGTAAACCATTAAGAACGCATTTATACAAAAAATGGCGATTTCCAGTCATGTGTTTGACCTCATCACCTTGCCTTCACTTTCAGGTGGTGTACAACAATACTTCGATGAAGCCGCAGTGGCACGTGCAGGGCCTGATCCCTGGCCAGCGGTACAGGATCCACGCCGTGGCGCTGAACGCCAAGGGCAGGAGCGCTGCTGTCATCCTACCGGCCGACACCGTCACTGGCCCCGAGAAACAGCAGGAAAACAAACAAGGTCGGTGGTGTAGACAGGCGGCTGGTGTCCTCCCAGCCGCTGCTGTCACCAGCTCCGAACAAAAGCACGGAGAGAAAAGGTTAGCGGCGGCGAAAAGATGGCTGTTACATCCGGGCCGATACTGCCCGGTCATGATAATCTATTTGGTATTTGAACAAGCGTCTCGAAACACCCGCTTTTGGGGGGGGGGGGACGCGAGTTTCACACACATTAAAATAACTGCAGAGGACCCAGAGACCGAATCCTGTCCCTGTGCAAATGTTAGTCTGTACTGGTGGCCTCGACATGATAAGCCCGTTGTACTCGGAAGTGAGGATATAAGCTATTATCTCGGTTATGGGACTCGATGACTTTTCTCCTTTTCGTACGCGTGGCTTCTGTGTGAGTCTTATGGATTTCAGTTTTGGAACTGTGACATGTTTGAATTTGGCATGATGAATTACCTGGGCTTTTTTGTGTGAGAGACCAGTGCTCAGCTGGCTTTTAGGTTTGGAGATATCTCAGTGATAGGCTGAGTGATGTTCCCGCGCATGGAACTACGTAAATATCATGGAATATAAGACGCAAGGCGCACGCAAATATATTGAATGAAGTGAGTGCCTTTTTCTGTGCACTGCATTCATTGACGTTGATGAAAGTTGTCGCATCCTTTACGTCCGATCCGGGACCCGGTGACGAACGCGACTTCGCCGTGCTTGCCAGACATCACGATCGCCGAGATGCTGCCGGAGCCGGCCGAACACTCGCCGCTGCTGGCCATCCTGGTGGGCGTGGTCGGCTCGCTGGTGCTGCTGCTGCTGGCCGTGCTGCTCACCCACTACCTGTGCCGGCGTGGCCAGCGGCGGGCCCAGCGGTGCAGGGTGCCCACCGTCCCGTCCCCGGCCAAGCCCACCGCCGATGATCAGGATGACGACGAGAAGGGGCCGGACGTGGTGCCCGAGGACGGCGGTGAGGGCTTCAGGGGATCGCAGAGAGGAGATAAGGGTGCTGAAGTGTCTCAGAAAGTAGGTGATGATTCTTTTACACCAGGAAGCTACGATGTAGGTCATAAGGGGCGAAAAGGGTGGCCTGCTCGTATGTATGCCATGTATGTATCTCAGAGTAGAAGCATCCTTCATGGGCGATGCTAACCGGCAGTGCAGCATCTTGACATGATTTGTTGAAGAGCAAGGAAACGTCACAAATGCAAGGCAATGAGATCAAACACGCCAACAATCTCCCATTATTGTGATAATTGCTTCCAATATGCTGTTTGCGATTGGCAGCCCAGCATAAGTGCATGTTGAGACCGCAGTCAGAAACGACATCCAAAGAAACCTGAGATATCAATAAGACACGCGAAGGGGAACTGGACGGATGAGATGATAACGGATGTGGGGATCAGTTGGTACCATACATGTAGTGCCTAAAGGTAAGCGATATGAGCCGGGCATTGTCGACAACCGACGCAAACAGGTTTGGTAAATGTTTTTAAACTCTGCTTCTCATTTTAAATTAACAGGCGGAGGTCGCTCGATGGAACAGTCGCGCATAAAATCGCACTGGGATAGCCTAAGATACAGCCGCTATTGGTTTTTTAAGGTCTGGTAATTTGAAAAGATGGTATTAGCAAAATTGTAATGTTATATGGTTTTGGTGTGGTTAACCTAATGCAAAAAACCCAAATAGTTTGAGGAGATGTTGGTCAAAATCGACCGAGCTACACGCATGTGGTATTGCCATGGTCCAATCCTACTCGGATTGGAAGCTCGAGATCGGCTTCGGAAGGATGGCATTATCCGTTTTTCGGTCGCTTTCTGGCACACCTAGCGATTAGTTGCTTTGAGATCCGTTCGCAAGTTGTAGCCAGTCCATCCGCCCAAAACCGGGCAGTCTGTTTTGTTTGGTGCATGAAAGCTCCAATCCTTAAAAACGCCCCAAGACGGACGGTCCCATGATTGATGCGAGAGTGCATGAACGTCCGCACACGTTGGCCCACAGTTTATGCACACGCTCGTTTCTTTTCTCCTTCATTATTGCGATTGTTGGTGTCGTTGGTACCAAAGCCCATTTCATGTCGCTGCCATCCCTTGTTGCCAACATTTCGGCCTGTTTCTGGCCCGGAAGTTCCAGCTGGTTTTTCACGGTTATGAAAATGACTCGAATCCTGTCTCAATCTGACGGGGGCTGCACAATCGTGGTCACACTCTTACTGCTGCAGAAAAAAACCGGCCGATCAAACAGCTCGTAGGCAGTGCCTACCAACTAAGTCAGGTAGGCACTGCTTGCAATTATAAGTGCAATTTTCGAGGATTTGTGCAACAAAATGTGAATGTTGCTGTTCAGGAGGCGAAAAGTACTTGTTCTAAGCGCAACGCGACAAGAAAATCAGTCGTGTCAAAGCGTTTGTAGGCTTATACTTACAACCGTTTGCCGCGCGCGAACCGGTAGTCCGCGCTTCATGTAGCGGAAAGCTGCGTAGGACTGCGACGACTGTTTGTAACATTTGGAGCTTTTGGAGAGTGTCATGTCGAACCCTCGAGTCGACAGTTTTTCAGATAGCTCTTTGACAGGTTTACGTGGTCTCACGAACCGCTCAGTTTGGAACCTCACTTGTTTCCATTGACGAAGACAATGATACGAATCGTGATTTTATGCACGCCAACACCTAATTGGAATTTTCCCAAAACCATGCTCATTGTTTTGTGTAGTCCATATTACCAAAAATGTTACACAATCAGCTGTGCGATTGCATGACATGTTTTGTTGCATTGGCTACCAAAAGCGCTGTGTGTCACTTGGACACAAACCGCCCAGGGTGCACTCGCAGCATTCTTATCACTCGAATGGTCTTTGTTTTGCGCTGGAATAGGGGACTCACTACAGTCACTGACAGGATCTGTGAGCCAGAGGACAAGGATGAGCGACGACATGCACAGAATATGCGTAAAAGACAGGGATCCGTCACAGCTCCAAACGGCGATAATGAAGTGCGTGGGTCATGTGTGCCCAGCTCTGATTGACCCGTGTCTTATTTTGCGCATATTAAGCAGTGATGGCCGTTCCTGGTTTCAGATGGCTCTTACGGCGTGTACCGCATACCAGGTAATATCCCGGCGCTGCCGGCCCGCGCGCAGGAGCCAGCCGTGCCCAGCTTCAGTGGCAGCAGGAACGGTGACATGCCGCTGAAGGCCTTCAATCACATCGTGCCGCCGGACCAGGTCAGAGTCGCCGCCGGCTGACCCTGGGTCAGCTGACATCGCCGCCTAGAGTCCGCCCTGCGCGTGTGGACCAGCTGCAGCGAATTCAGGGATCTACTCAGGACGTGCTCTACATGAAGTACAGGAGTGATTTCCTGTTTCTCTATCAGACCACGCCTCCGCGAGACAAACGAAAATAATACATCGCCCAACAACATGGCTGCACATTGCCCAATAGCATGACTTTTGTTCAAAGCAACACGTTGTGTCTGTGTGAGAGCTAGATGAAGGAATACCTGGACCGATCAACATGCCTTTGGTCCGCAGGGCCGCCAGCGCTCAACGGCGACGCTGCCGACGCCACAGCGCGGCACGTGCCGGCAGCCGGCTCGCCAGGGGTGCGTCACCCTGGACCGGCGCCGGCCGCAGGCGCCGCCGGCGCGCCTCCAGGCCGGACGGCCCCCGGACACGCTCTCGCCGCTGATTGGCCGCGGCGTCGACGAGAGCGCGTTCTGACTGGTCAAGGTCGCCGCGGCGCTGGCATCGTGCGTGCATCGGGTCAATGTGGCGGAAGGCTGCGTTGTTGCATTCGACTGTGGCGATAGATGTTTGAAGACATTACTGCGTTTGAACGTGATGCCTTTGTCTCTACGGCTTGTAAAATATGATTATTTTGGTAAATAAACGTGTTTAATATTGGTGGCACTTTTGTAAGCAAGTATTCGGCAGGGAAATACATCCTAAAAAGCTCTAAACTCATGCACAGCACACGTTGGATAAATGACACGTGTCTTTTGTTCAGTTCATTGGCACCGCGACGTCAGACAAGTGTGTGTGGGGGGGGGGGGGGGGGGCAGGGCCGCGAGCAGGCCTGCCACTCACCCCAAACGCACATCTTCTCGCCATGAATTGCTCTCGACAGAAAAACTCTGCCCCCCCCCCCCCATCGATATGTACAACACTCTCCGAAAGACACAGATGCATCAGGCGGTCTGAGACTAGGTGGACTTCAGCGTCAGCAACAAAAAGACGACTGACAAAGTTGCTTCGAGGTAAGTAAGCAAGCGTACTTCAAGTGCAGTAGACTTGCAAACTTATCCTGACATCACCAGCAAGAAGTCACGGAGCGGTATTTTTCAGACACCTGCCGCTGCGAACGGAAATATGCAATCGTGTGTATCACGACTAATTGCCTAGCGTGACAGTACCATTGCCTTCGATATATTATTGTTGTAATTCAATCGCTTCTAATGCAACGTCCGCGGAAGTGGTTTGAGCGGCACAAGATTCATTTGTTTAAAAATTTCTACTTAACTACTTCAAAACACAGTTTTCGTCTTTTAAAAAGGTTTCGTTAACTTACTTGTAGCTAGAACTCGAAATTTATTAGATGTCACTTGTACCAACTATATTTTTCCAACAATGGGGTGTGATCTCGAAACGTCAGGACGTTCGAATTTCTCACTAGCGGCACGGACGGAATGATTTTTGGGGCCGCCATTCTGCAATTATTCCATACGAATAATACGGATGGAATAATTGGTTTGATCACCGTCCTTCAATTATTCAATTAGTGAAAGGAATCATGTGATCGTATGTAAAACATGAGTCGTATGTTTCATTCAATGCAATATCGAGGAAACAGAGAGAAAATGAAGATACGGGTGCATGCAGAGCCGCGCCACTGTCTCCCAGAGCCACGAACCGAACAAAAGCAGTACCGGTATAATAGTACCATTTGTCCATGGTGAACGGTACTGTCTGTATTCCGTATGGTTTGCATGCGGTGCACAAGGCTCTTGTTCCGCTCAGACCTATTTTTCCGCTGGTGTGTGGTTGGGGCCTTACGACGCACACACACACACACACACAGCTGTAAGGCCATATGGCGTCGCATGCTTCTCGCCCTCACAGGAATGGTGGGCACCGCGGGAAATCGAACCCCGTACCCATACTTTACCAGACGCAAAGCTCAAAGGGAATGTTTCACATTTGAAGATGTAGAAACAAGCATCAGATATGATGAGAGAAGTTTATTTACAGCTATTGGCATACTTTTAAGTAGAAAAACTGCTCTAGAAGCCACACGTTCTGTGTTTAGAAAAAGGCTCCTCGATACATCATTGTTTGATTAGGTCATCGCACCTTGCACAACATTGATTGAGAACCAATTGACGGCCGAGTTATCTGGAAATCGCGCTCACGAACATCAGATATGAACGACTCGGCCATTATGTTTTTTTTCTCAGCCTTGAGCGCTGCAAGACTTATGGAATGGAAGGATTTAAACGACGTTATTATGACGTCATGGATGCCAAGGTGGCCTTGACATACTTTCCTCGAAAGAGTCTCCCCATTTTCGCGGACATATAGCTCAGAAACTGAAGGGGGTTTAAGTGTTAAGAAGGATAGGGCTGTGAACTGCACCGAAAGATCTTCAAGATGGTTAGTTTAGTTCAAAACCTCAAATAAATGCGGAGCATTCCCTTTAACCACCACACTAGAGGTCCTCTTTTCTGCTCACGTTGCTTCTGTTTATAACCTTGCTAAATTGCTGGTTCTGTCCCTCATTTCTGACAATCCGAAGTTGCAAATTTTGTGGTTTGACATAGGTGACTCCAAGAAGAGTTTCTGGCAGGCATCTCAGGTCACTTGCGAGCACAATGGTATCCACTTTGATTTGTTCTGAGCGTACATTTATCATGCCGGGCTCCGTTAATGTAACAGTGTCGCACCGCCGCCAGCGCCGTCCGATCGTTGATCGCCGTGTAGTGTTCCTAAAAAAGTGGGGTGGGGGGGGGGGGGCTTGGCCCCTACCAGAGCGAGGGTAAAGCTCGTTTTTTACGTCAGTTTCCACTCCACTACATGTTACGTTCCATGATAGATTAATAAACCATCGTTAATCTTCATGGACGTGATCCTGTGCCGAGTAGATTCCAGGAAAACATTGCGGAAGAGTGACACATTTATCAAGGGCAGAAAACATCTGTCGCAAAGAACTTTCATTGAGTAAGAAGTTTACCCATCCGTAGTCAGCGCAAGTGGTTGTATCTCCAATTATAGGTTTCTAGGGCAATCAATCGGCCTATCTCATGGAATAATCTAACCTGATATACAGATTGAGGATCAACTTTCATGTGTCCACATATCTAAATTCATTAATTTTCTGCTGAGAGGCAGTAATGAGCCTTAGTGGGTCAAGCTTGCATCGAGTGTCGCATTTGGTCGCGGGTTGCCACGAATCTGACGTGGACCACATCAACAGTGCTGCACCTGATACCACCCATGCGCTGGCCGGGTCGTCGGAACTGGTGCCCTTGTCAAAAACTGACACTTTCTCGGCCTGGCAGTAAGCAGTGTTGTTCTCATAATTGCAACTGGCATCACCCAGTCCCCAGCGCAGAGTGGGGTTGTGAGTTTGCCATACAATCCGTGCAACAGCCTCTGTATTTTAGCAGATTGGCTGAGGATCTGGCCGAAAGGCGCGTCTGCAGCAGCTGCTGACCTGATTTTGGGTCCGTGGTGAGACGGATCTCGTGGATGCGCTTAAGATTCGAGGCCGACAGCTTGTGCATAGCCTCCAGCGCTTTCAAATAACGACCAGGTTTGGCACGCGACGCCCCAAGGCTTTCGGAGGTACCTCTCCGGGATGTTGTGCAATCGCGTCCAAACTTGCTGTGTCTTCGGAGCATTCATTCCGCGTGTTTCGACATGCCCCTATAACTTCTGCCTTTTGAGAAGATACTGACTTCTAGAAACGCTACTCGGTGATCCACGGCTGGCGCGGGCGATGGGCGGCAACAGAAGATGCCATGGAATGCGCGCAGTGTGCCGACACCGTTACATTGACGCATCCCTACATCATAAATATCTGTAGCAACACACATCATAAATATATGTAAAAACACAGCTGTTAAATTTCTGTGTCGCTACAAAGTATGATATCATGGATAAGGGCATGTAGTCACCTCAAAGCGTGACACCTTGAAGAAAGGCATGCAAAGTACAAACAAATTATTCTAAAGAAATACTTTGACCTAACATAGAAGGATTGATTATTGACCTAACGACGCGCAACTTATTGTCCATGCGTGATTTTGTTGAAGTCATCCAGTTTTTTTCCGCGAGACCCTATGTTTCTTAGTTTAAAAACGGCAGGGGGATCGGATCGCCCCTTCCCATCACCCTCCCCCCCCCCCCCCCCATTAGCTCTCATTCCGAAAAACGGCAAATCAGGGCGAGGGTCAAGCGCTTCGCAGCCCGGCACCAGCGCTTCCCAGACCTGTGCCCGACACGCGGCCGTTCCAGTGTCGAACGCACGCTTACTCTAGTGCCGAACACACACTCACTCCAGTACAGGACACGCGGCCTCTCACGCGGCCTCTCTTGTGCCGGACGCGCGACAGCTCCAGTGCCGAACATGCGCCCACTCCAGTGCTGGACGGCAGCTCGTGTGTTAGACATGCGGCCTCTCCCGTGCCAGACACGCGGCCCCTCCTGTGCCGAAAACACGGCCGCCCTGGTGTTGGACGGCTACTCCCATGCTGACACGTGGTCTTTCCACGACAGACACGAGGCCGCCTTACTGCACGACGGCTGCTCTTATGCAGGACACGCGGCCTATCCGGCGTGGGACACGCGGCCGGTTCAGTATCGGACATGCGGCCGGTTCAGTATCGGACATGCGGCCGGTTCAGTATCGGACACGCGGCCGGTTCAGTATAGAATACACGGCCGGTCCAGTATGGGACACGCGGCCGGTTCAGTATAGGACAAGCTGCCTTTCCTGTGCCGGACGTTCGACAGTCCCAGGGTTCGAAGTAGCAACGCCCAGCGAGTAGCTCACCGCCACTGCAATGAGGTACTTATGCTCTGTTAAGATGCAGATGATTTTAATGGCACAATGTGGGTCAATGCAACAAATGTTTCACGCAATGCTCCTTTTCTACAAGTTCGTGACATGCATCATAAGGACATAGGCCCACAGCTGGAAAATGTGAAGTGCTTTGCTCGAATATGCCCATAACCGGCAGTTGAGACGT